ACACTCGAAGTGGCATACAACCATATTGGCAGATATGGAGGCTCTTCATTCTAGTGGGACTTAGTTTTCATTCCCACTGGCAAATCAGTTATTGGGTGTCGTTGATGGGAAAATCAGTTGTTGCTTAAAGTTGGTCATGATGAGAAAATTGATCGTTTCAAGGCTTTGTGGAGAAAGGGTATACTCAAATCTATGGATTGGATTACACTGACACTTTTTCTCATGTAGCAAAGATTGCATCGGTTTGTTTGATTTTATTTATGGTAGTAATGAGCCACTGGTCATTGTTCCAAATGAATATTAAAAATGCATTTCTTCAAGATGATCAGCATGAGAAGGTTTATATGGAGCAACCACCTGGATTTGTTGCTCAGGGGGAGTCTGGAGTCTGGTTTGGTATGCAAATTACGTCGTTCGTTATATGGTTTGAAGCAACCTCCACGTGCACAGTTCGGGAGGTTTAGTGTCGTCATCCACAGTTTTGGCATGATTTGCAGTGATGTCGATCATTCTATATTCTACAGGCATTCCGTAGGCAATACATGTATTTATCTTGTTGTGTATGTTGATGACATTGTCCTTACAGGTAGTGCTTAATAAGGAATTGCACTTTTCAAGCAATATCTTTTTAGCGAATTCCAAACTAAAGACTTGGGAAAGTTGATATATTTCCTTGACATTGAGGTCGCGCAGTCTCAAACTGGAATTTCCCTCTCAAAAAGAAAGTATGTCTTGGACATTCTTGAGGAAACATGTATGCTAGAATGTAGGCTAGTGGATACACCAATGGATCCGAACGTCAAACTCTTGTCAAAATAGGGGATCTTTTGCCCAACAGGGAAAAATATACAAGACTCATTGGCAAACTGAATTACCTTACCATCAAGAGACTAGATAATTCATTTGCGGTAAGTGTCTTTACTCAGTTTCTTGATAAGCCACATAATGGACATTGGGATGCATCTATCCAAGTTTTGAATATCAAGGTCACCATGATACTGTGGGATGTTGTGATGCAGACCAGACCGGATGTCCTATTGATAGATGATCCACTTCGGGTTATTGTGTCTTGATCGGTGGAAATTTAAATTCATGGAAACTAAGAAATATCGTGCAATGGCTCTTGCTACATGTGAAATCTTATGGTGGAAACATCTCCTCCTAGTTAAAATAAGGAAACACAAAACAGGTTCAACACAAGCCGTAATGCACATTTTATCAAATATGATATATCATGAGAGGACGAAGCATATTGAAGTTGATTGTCATTTTATCCGAGAGAAGATCATGAATGGACATATCACCACAAGTTATGAAAACATAATTGATGAATGAAGGTGCACAATATTCCCTATAACACCCAACTCGCGTTCTTGAACCCTACCCAACAAAGATTTAAAATATTCAGGGTTTCGTTCTAGTACAAGGGCATACCTCTGACCCTCATAGATAAGGATAGGCGGGTGATACAGGTCCCCCTCATCAGCCCCTGTGGTAATGTTGTTCAGTTCCAAGACAGGATCGGTATGGTAGGTACGATTTCCTTGTAAGGAATATTATATTTTAGAGGTTTGGACTCTTCCATATCATCTGGTGAGTATCCCGTAGATTGATTAGTATCCTCGTCTGAATCCGATTCCGGAACTGAGGGTTCAGCCAGCTTCCACTCAAGATTCGGTTTCGTCAATGAAACAGTTATCGCCTGAGACAAAGTTTGCGAACTCAGCGAATCAGGTAGCGACAAACTCTGCGAACTCGACGAATTATGCAAATGCTGAAGAACTGTTTGCGAATTGCTCTTTCTTATCGAGTTCCGACAGAGCTTTATGATCAACGATCTTCCTCGCTCGTGTCGATCGTTCCCCTGTAGTATCATTTTGCGCAACTCAGTGAAATCTTTCCGCACTTCCTCGCGATGGTTCCGTAGTATCTCCTGGAGATGGTTCCGCATCTCCTAGCGATAACGTTCAAAATTGCGCTCCAGGATCTCCAGTCTACTTTCCATCGTTTCAGACTCGCTTTCCTCCATGAATAGGTGCAAGAACGATGCTCTGATACCAATGTTAGGTAACTAGCTAATTTACAATGAATTTCAAGAAACAAGATGAAGAACAGAGATATGCGTACAACTGAAAGGGGTCGTATTACAGAAAATAGAAGAGAAATACAAAGGCAGTTTAAAAGTGCCCACTCTCCAAGTCCCAAGCCCAAAGGATAATTCCAACACCATTTCTATTCTAATTTCTAACCTCACCCTCTATTTATACTAACTATTATAATATTATTATTACTCTCATTTATTATTATCAGTGCTAATCTGCCAGAGTCTTATCACTTTCTTCAGCGAAAGGACACCTCGTCTCCGCCTCCGCCCTGCGCATCACAGCCTGCCGCCCCTGTCTTCTGTCCCCTGTCGCCGACCGCCATCTTCTTCTATTTCTCTAGATTTGTGACGGTGGACGGGTTATTCCTTACCAATTTGGGATCTAGATCAGTGCTTCGCCGGTTTGAATCAACAGTGGCTAGGGTTTTAGGCGGGCGGCGGGGCGGCGGGGCAATGGGGCGGCGGGGCGTTAAAGGTTGGGCGGCGGCTTGTGGGGTGAGTTGGGCGGCGACTGGAAGGGGAGGTTTGGGAGGCTCGGGGTAGGGCTGGGCGAGTGGGCAGGGCTGTCCAAATTGTGGGGAGTGGAGGGGGAGTGATGAGTCAAAATTACTGGGGCTGACCAGGCGGTGGTAGTTGTGGTGGTCACTACCAAGGCGGCGACGGTCTTGCCGGAGCGGTGGAAGTCACTATCGAGGTTGTGGTGGTCATTGACCGGGTTGGGGCTGGGTGGGTTGGTCACTAGTCGGGTTGGTCACTGGTCGGATTGGTCATGATCACTGATCGGTAATTGTTCAATGTCGGGTTGGTCATGGTCACTGATCGGTAATTGGTCATTGGTCGGGTTGGTCATTGATCGGGTCAAGGTAGTCAAAGTTGCGAGGCGCACTTAAGGCACTAGAGTACTTGTATCGCCTGAGGCGCAAAAGGCGCAAAAAAGCGATCACCTGACTCGGGTCTGGCGCACTTTTTAGAAAATATTATGTATATTGAACTAAATGCATCAAAAGTCATGTTTCTAAAAAATAAAGTCATGATTCACCAAAATAAAGTCATGGTTCACAAAAAACACAAATGGGGGTCTGTCTTTGTTGATTTTGCAATTTTAGCAATAGGAATAGCATAATTATAGTGTATGAAACTATTAAGTGAGTTAGATTATACGAAATTTTTATACAGTTAAAATATGAAATGATAATAGGAAGATATAGAGTTATAGATTGTATAATAAGATGACATATTATAGAGTACACATAATGTAAACTGGTAATCAGGTACATATAATATGTTTGAGTGGTATAGAATATATTAGAAGCAAAAAGAACTATAAAGTATGCATAGATGACTGGAACTGATAAACGTATAGAAGAAGATAGACTGAAAGCACAAAATGAAAGGATCACCAAGAAGATGACATAATAAATGAAAACTTCAAGCTGAAAAAGAAAGAAAAACGAACATGGGAAGATGATGATGAAAGAAGACACCTTATGGGTTTCTGGCTTCTGTGGGTTCGTTGAATGTGTTTTAGCGCTGAGCATGTTGTGCAAGTAGAGCACATAGCAGCATAGGCGAGTAACGGTGAAGTCAAGACTCAAGATAGAAGACTTTTCCCACGACTAAGAAGGATTTGATATGGGCTTATTATTTAAAGTAGGATCAAACAAAAAATAGGCTGATAAGCCTTTCCCAGACAAGACAACTTAAGATTGCGCTTTTCTCAACTTCGGCGCTTCTGCACCTAAACTGCGCTTTAGACAGGGAGCTGTGCCTGGCCATTCTTCAGTCGTTGAGCCTCATGTGCGCTTAAGCGCCCAAGCGCTCGCTTTTGACTACCTTGGGTCGGGTTGGTCATTGGCTGGATTGGTCATTGTTGCGTTTGGTCATAGTCACTGGTCTGGTTGGCCACTGATCGGTTTGGTCATTGCAGATCGGTTTGTACATTTATTTTAGTATTATTTTTGACAAAACCCCATCTTTGAATTATTGTTTTCTTTTTAGTTGTTTTCTTTATTTTACTTTCCAAACTCTTTAAAGCCTATTTAAAGGCCAGTTGAATGCAGGAAAAGGGATGCAAGTTTTCATCAAGAAAAGTCTAAGGGAGATTGTGGAATTCTCAATTAAAAAATCCAACTTGTCATAAAAGTTTGCATCAATATATTCTTCCTAGTTTTCTGCCAAACAGTAAGCATAGCCAACCCTTCCAAAGCTCAGTCTACCCTCCCACTCACCCGAAGGCCTGTGACGAGATCTTGCACACAAGCTGCCCGTAACAGATAAGCACTTGCATTGGGCAGAATATTGGTAAGACAATGGAAAGGCAACCAACCAATTATGGAAAACAATCAAAAGAGCAATCGGTGATGAAGCATAATTTAAGAAGCAGCAAAGTTGAAGAGATCAATCATTTATAAACTTCATTTATATATAATTGATTAGAGAAGACATCATGCTTGGAGGTTGCCATTTAGGTATACCTTGTCTATTGTTGTACTTCGTTATTTCCAGAACAAAGAACAGAGTATCTGCTATTGAGGATTACTCTTGGTTTCTGTCTCTGCTCTATCATTCTCCTACTTGGCAAGTTTAATGGATAATTGCATTGCCTTTCAAAGTTGAATAGTTGGACCGAGTTACAAAAAAAATGGGAGTTGAAATGCTTTATTGCAATTGTTAGTTGACTTTCTATCCTGCTAGGCAAAACAACAGGAAGACGACACCTAGGTGAAGAGGGTGGGTCGATAGACCGGCGGAGGAAAACTCAATTACTAGCAAGCAAGGGAGAAAGGTTTCCAATTTCACTTGGATAATAGTAGGATATGTGACTTTTTTTAAAGCAATCTAGAGAAATGGACTATTTATGGTAAATTGAGTGTATAGACCTAGCAAAATTACTTACCAGTATTCCATTATCATATTCTTCAGCCTCATTTCCAATCTGTAAAAAATTGAAGATCTCTCAAAATCCTGCTTGTCATGTGCAGGCTCTATAAAATTTGCTTCTAGGACTCCTGGATATTTTGCAAATAAGTAATTACACAAAGGAGAAACCTTAAACTGTAGACTATATCATGTATGTCGTAGGGGAGGTAAATTCATTGCCATACCAACAACACCTGATCCTCTTGAATGACCATCTGCAGTGACCTTCCAGAAGGGCTGAAATCCATTAAATTGTGCAAATTAAAAGAAGATACCACATCTTTCTTACCAGTTTGTTGGGCTGTAGGCTTCGGCCCACTCAGACCTGGGAGTCATTTAAACAAAGAGCAGCAGCCTGCTCTAGTTAAATGTGCAGGCAGCCCTAGTTGGGCCTATTTCTTTGATGGCAGTCAGGCCCAGAACCTTATTTAAGTGCTTTACCCTAATTGTTTGCCTATATATTGACTCCTGTACTTGTAAAACTATTATCTGTATCATTCATCATCTCAATAAAGAAGAAAACCCTAGTTGCCCCCGTGGATTAGGTCAGTAACACTTACTGGCTGAACCACGTTAATTTCTGTGTGCCGTTTCTTCTCGTTCTTTTCTCGTTTTCAGATTTGTGTGTGTGTGCGCCCTAACCTTAACAACTGGTATCAGAGCGAGGTTAGCCACCACCACATATCTGACCACCACCACTGCTGCCGCCCTGCGTCCATAGCCTCTTTGTGCCGCCAACAGTGTGCTGCCGCAGAAAAACACAGCTGGCAGATTGTAAAGGTTTGGGACAATGGCAGACGACGGAAAAACCAAAGTCGAGAAGTTTGATGGACAAGATTTTGGATGGTGGAAGATGCAAATTGAGGATTTGCTGTGTCAGAAGGATCTGGATCAAGCCTTGACAGGAAAGAAACCAGAAAAGATGAGTGATGATGAATGGACTGCTCTAGACAGGAAAGCTTTGGCTGTTATCAGATTTACCCTAGCCAAGAGTGTGGCGTTTAACATCTTGAAGGAGACTACTGCATGTGGTTTGATGAAGGCTTTGTCAAACATGTATGAGAAACCATCGGCGTCAAATAAGGTATTTTTGATAAGACAGCTAGTAAACACCAGAATGAAAGAAGGTGCTTCTGTTACCTCACATATTAACGAGTTCAATACTATCATATCCCGCTTGCTATCTGTTGATATTAAGTTTGAAGATGAAGTCCAAGCTTTATTCTTGTTATCCTCATTACCAGAAAGTTGGTCAGGAACAGTCACTGCCATTAGCGGTTCAACTGGAACTTCTAAACTCACATTTGAGGGCATTCGTGACATTATCCTTGGAGAGGATATAAGAAGGAGGAGTTCTGGAGAATCTTCTAGTGCTTTGTTAAGCACTGAAGGGAGAGGTAGAAAGAAAGAGAAGGGAAATAGCAGAGGCAGATCAAAGTCTAGAAAGAGGAGCCAATCAAAGCCGAGAAAACATATTCAATGCTGGAACTGCAAAGAAACTGGGCATTTCAGAAATCAATGCCCTAAATCATCAGAAAGGAAGGAAGTGAATGCAGCCACTGACGATTCAGATGATGCTCTTATTTGCTGTGTTGAAAACTCAACAGAGTCGTGGATTATGGATTCCGGTGCATCTTTTCATGCTACTTTCAGCACAAAGATGATAAAGAATCTACGGACAGGTAATTTTGGTAAAGTTCGTTTGGCTAATAACGACTCTCTTGACATCACAGGGATGGGTGACATAGACTTAAAGACTTCTTTGGGCACCACTTGGACATTGAAAGACGTTCGGGTCATTCCAAGCCTTAAGAAGATGCTGATTTCTATTGGGCAGTTGGATGATCAGGGATTTGATGTTACATTTGGTGAAGGACAATGGAAGGTTGTCAAGGGGAATCTTGTAATCGCTAGAGGCAAAAAGAGGGGTACTTTATATATAAATGAAGCCCCTGATGATGAGATGAATGCAGTGACCAGCGGGCTGAATCCATCCAGTTTGTGGCATCAACGGCTTGGCCACATGAGTGAAAAGGGAATGAAGATGCTCGTTGCAAGGGGGAAACTTCCAGATTTGAAAAAGGTGAATTCTGAGTTCTGTGAACCTTGTGTTCTTGGCAAGAAAAAGAAGGTTTCTTTTTTGAAGACAGGCCAGACACCGAAAACTCAGAAGCTGGAGCTAGTTCACACGGATGTGTTTGGCCCGACGCCAGTCTCTTCCCTGGGAGGATCAAGCTACTATGTGACCTTCATTGACGACTCAACACGCAAGGTATGGGTCTACTTTCTTAAAAATAAGTTTGAAGTTTTCAATATTTTTAAGAAGTGGAAAACTGCTGTTGAATTGGAAACTAATTTGAAGGTAAAGTGCTTGAAATCGGACAATGGCGGTGAATACATTAGCACAGAGTTTATTGATTATTGTGTTGAACATGGCATTCGGATGATAAAGACGGTTCCAGGCACTCCTCAACAGAACGGAGTGGCAGAAAGGATGAACAGAACTTTGAATGAGAGGGCCAGGAGTATGAGACTCAATGCTGGGCTTCCAAAGACGTTCTGGGCTGATGCAGTGAATACTGCTGCTTATCTTATCAACCGGGGGCCATCAGTACCATTAGGTTTCAAAATACCGGAGGAAGAATGGAAAGGAGAAGCTGTCAGGTATGGGCATTTAAAGATATTTGGTTGCAGCGCTTATGATCTTATGAAAGATGGTGACAAGTTAGATGCTAAAGCCAAGAAATACACTTTCATTGGATACGGGGGAGACAGCATGGGTTACCGGCTTTGGGACTGTGAAAGCAGAAAGGTAATCAGAAGTAAGCATGCTACATTCAACGAGGCTGAACTTTATAAAGACAGAAGCACGGCAAACTCAAAGATTCAGAAAGAGCAAATTGAGTTTGAAAATGAAGTCATCAGAAACAGAGAGTCTGAAGATACTCAAGGCAGTGGGAGCATAGAGAATGATTCCAGTACTGACGAGCTTGAGGATAATCAAGGAGATTCTGTTGATAGTGACAATTCAGAAGATGAATCTGCAGCTTCACCCATGCAGCCACAACCAGTTGAAACACAGTGGGTCAGGAGATCCACTAGAGTCACTAAACCTCCAAAAAGATTCAGTCCATCAGTCAATTACCTTCTTTTGACTGAAAACGGAGAACCAGAAAGTTATCTTGAAGCAGTAAAGCAGAATGATTCGTTTCAGTGGGAGCAGGCTATGAAGGAAGAAATGGGTGCCTTGCACAAGAACAAGACATGGGTTCTTACTAAGCTTCCACCAAGCAAGAAGGCACTTCAAAATAAATGGGTATTCAGAATCAAGGATGAGCCTGATGGGTCTAAACGGTACAAAGCCCGTTTAGTGGTCAAAGGTTTTCAGCAGAAAAAGGGAGTGGATTATAATGAGATATTTTCCCCAGTGGTTAGAATGACCACCATCAGATTGGTTCTAAGCATTGTAGCTGCAGAGGGCTTACATCTAGAGCAACTAGATGTTAAGACAGCATTTTTACATGGTGACTTTGATAAGGATATCTATATGGCACAGCCTGAAGGATTTCAGATTGCTGGTAAAGAAAATCTGGTCTGCAAACTAAAACGAAGCTTATATGGTCTGAAACAAGCTCCGAGACAGTGGTATTTGAAGTTTGATAACTTCATGATAAGGACAGGGTACAGAAGATGTGAGATGGATCATTGCTGCTACGTAAAGAGGTTCAAGAGTTCATATATCATTCTACTTCTCTATGTAGATGATATGTTGATAGCTGGTGCAGATATGAAAGAGATCAGCAGGTTAAAGAAGCAAATGTCTCAAGAATTTGAAATGAAAGATTTGGGTCCAGCCAAACAAATACTCGGAATGAGCATAGTCCGAAACAAGGAGAATGGTTCTTTAACACTATCCCAGGAGAAGTATATTGGGAAAGTGTTGGAGAAATTCAATATGAATGGTGAGAAGACTAAACCGAGAAACACGCCTTTGGAAAGTCACTTCAAGCTTACCAAAGACCAATCTCCGAGAACAAACGAAGAGAACGCAAAAATGGCTCAAGTTCCTTTTGCATCTGCAGTTGGTAGCCTCATGTATGCTATGGTGTGCACGAGACCAGATATAGCTTATGCAGTCGGAGTTGTTAGTCGCTTCATGTCAAAACCGGGGAGAGAACATTGGGAAGCAGCCAAATGGATACTTAGGTATTTGAAGGGTACTACAAAGATGGGGTTATGTTTCCGAGGTAAAGACGTAATTTTAAGAGGGTATTCTGATGCTGATTTGGGTGGATGCAAAGAGACGTTCAAAAGCACTACGGGGTACATTTTCACAGTGGGAGGAACCGCAGTTAGTTGGATGTCCAAACTTCAGAAAAGTGTAGCTCTCTCAACAACCGAAGCAGAGTACATGGCAGTTGCTGAAGCCAGTAAAGAGCTGGTTTGGTTGAGAAACTTTCTTGAAGAGTTAGACAAAAAGCAAGCAGATTACTCATTACACTGTGATAATGAGAGTGCAGTGAAACTTGCCAATAATCCAGTGTATCATGGGAAAACGAAGCACATTGGGATGAGATATCACTTTGTTAGAGGGTTGATCAGTGAAGGAATGATGAACTTGAAGAATATCTCAGGTGTAAAGAATCCAGCAGATATGTTCACTAAATCTGTGACACTGGACAAGCTGAAGTTTTGTGTAACTTTAGCTGGCCTTCAAGAATAATGTTGAGAAGGCAGGTGGCAACTAGGAGAAGCTAAACACAGATGAAGTTTACAGAAGTACAGAGGAGTGGAGTGCAGTTGATTGTGTTTCGAAGCCTCCACGTGGGAGATTGTTGGGCTGTAGGCTTCGGCCCACTCAGACCTGGGAGTCATTTAAACAAAGAGCAGCAGCCTGCTCTAGTTAAATGTGCAGGCAGCCCTAGTTGGGCCTATTTCTTTGATGGCAGTCAGGCCCAGAACCTTATTTAAGTGCTTTACCCTAATTGTTTGCCTATATATTGACTCCTGTACTTGTAAAACTATTATCTGTATCATTCATCATCTCAATAAAGAAGAAAACCCTAGTTGCCCCCGTGGATTAGGTCAGTAACACTTTACTGGCTGAACCACGTTAATTTCTGTGTGCCGTTTCTTCTCGTTCTTTTCTCGTTTTCAGATTTGTGTGTGTGTGCGCCCTAACCTTAACACAGTTAACCAAGTTCTAGACTTTCATGATAAACTTTTTGTATAACGACCGTAAGCATACCCTGATTAGACGATTTTTGTGATAAACATTAAATCCAGACACTGGAAGGTTTGGTGCTTCTTTAATGAAGCCAATAGTAGTTTCTACAGTCACCTGCCAGGAAAGGAGAGCATTTAAAGCCAATAGTTATAACTTAATATGTAAGGTGTGCTTAAACGTTCCATCATTGGATGAGTTGAGAACTCATAATAGTATAAAAACAATATAATTGAAAATCACAATTATTACTCATTAACAGAGATATGCAATATGATTAAAGGATGATATATATACCTCTTTTGATGTCACATCAAGTTGTGGCTTGTAGGATATTACTTTTGAGTGTTGTAAATCACCACCAATGCTATACTGCTCCACAGCCTTGCCTCTTAATAAGATGCTAAAATTTTTAAACTTTTTGAGGTACAATATTGATGTATATGCCTGAGAAGAATGAAGTTAGAGTCATTTAGATTATTAGATACACTAGGGAAGCACAACTAAGTACTCTGTATCTCTATTGTGTTGCTAATACAAACTTAAATTGTTACCCTTAATGAATAACGGAAGCGGTAGGAAATATGGGATTGCAATTCAGCTTGTTTCCTGTGTTGTTTGGACACATTTCCTTGATTAGCTTCATCTCTCAACCTTATATCCTATGTTTCCAAGTAGTTAAATAAATAAATAAAATCATAAGCTAAAGTCGTGATAAATGAAAGGCTTGTCCAGAAAATGAAACAAAAACCCATTTTATAGTTCATACATGATTATAATTAACTATCAGAAAGCTGGAAATAAGGCACTTGACATGAGCATTATCTAAACGGAAAACGAAGGTGGTGGAATGAACTACTAAATAGTGAAGATCAATATACGACATAAAGTAGACATAAAGAGATATATTATGTAGCATATCTTACAACTACTAAGATGTGTTGTTTATGTGCCAACTACCACAGGGAAATTCTGAAGAATGCCAGCCTGTGGCAGAATTTTGGTCATGCGCTAAAAGCAAACACGGAAAGCTAATCAGAGAATTTATGGAGCAAATTGGTGATCATGTTAGCATGGTAAGTGATACATGTCTAATATGATATATTATACGGAGTACATATTACTTCCTCTTCCCCACATATATTACCATATGTGGTAATAATTATGTGTTTCAATTCAATCGAACGGAGGTAGTAGTGATAATAGTATTAGCATCAGATTCCTACTATTACTAATAGTTACATGTTAGTATTGGTATTTTGTTTTAGTTAATATCCTTATTGAAAATGCTGCAATAGATTAAGGACTCTATTTACTTGTTCGCCAAGACAATTGCAAATAGTTTAAAAGGGGGTTTAATTTTAATAATATCATACAATTTGAAGCTTAACCATAAGGCTTTGAGAAGGCAAGGTCTATAGCAGTGATGTTAATAACGCGCTATAGTCCATCAGAAAGGTATGGGTTTATTTTCTAAAGAACAAATCCGATGTATTTGTTACCTTTAAAAGGTGGGAAGCTGCTGTTGAAAATGAAATTGGTGTAAAAGTCAAATTTTTGAAGTCATATAATGGGGGTGAGTATAGCAGCAGAGATTGTGTTGATTATTGTGCCGAGAATGGAATCAGAATGCTGAAAACAGTTCCAGAAACACCTCAGCAAAATGGGGTTTCTGAAAGGATGAACAGAACCCTTTGTGAGAGCAAAGAGCATGAGGCTACACGCAGGACCAAAGATGTTCTGGGCAGATTCCGTCAACACGGCAGCATACTTAATCAATCGTGGACCCTCAGTTCCCATAGGGGTCAAAATTCGTGAAGAAGAATGGCGAGGTCGAGAGGTATCACTTACTCATTTGAAACTTGAAAGTATTTGGTTGTGGGGACAAGCTCAAAGCAAAGGCAAAAAAAGTGTGTCTGTATAGGCTACGGTTTGGATGACATGGGTTACTGCTTATGGGATGATCACAGCAAAAAGGTTATTAGAAGCAAAGATGTGACATTAAATGAGATTCTGAGAATGCTCTGTACAAAGATGATGATCTGGCAACAACCCCAAAGATGATCTGGCAACAACCCCAGCCAAAGCAAGATGCCAGAAAGAAAGGATCAAGTGGCGTTTGATGTTATCTCAAAAGAAGACATTGTGAAACCTTCAGTACTTCAGAAATTGGTCAGAGTTCAAAAATAGTGGGAGCTCATATAAGGATGGGAGATCTGGAAACAGTGGGAACACAGAGGATATTAAGAGTTCAGATACTGAGACTGAGACTATTGACAGTGGAACTCAATAACATGGGTTAGAAGATCCACCAGAGTTACTACACGTCCTCATAGATTCTCCCCCTAAGCAAATTATTTGCTATTGACCGATAATGGTGAACCAGAATATTATTCAGAAGCTTTGAAGATGAAAGAACATGAACCGTGGGAGCAAGCTATGAATGAAGAAATGAGATCACTTGAAATGAATTGGACTTGGAAATTGGTCAGATTACCAGCAGGAAAGAAAGTTTTGCAAAATAAATGGGTATTTAGGGTCAAAGATGAGATTGACGGTAACAAGAGATACAAGGGTCGATTGATTGTCAAAGGCTTCCAACAAAAGAAAGGAGTGGAATATAATGAGATCTTCTCACTAGTTGTGAAGATGACCACGATCAGATCATTCTTGAGTATCGTGGCCGCTGAAAACTTGCATTTAGAGCAGCTGGATGTCAAGACAACTTTCTTACATGGAGATCTTAGTGAAAATATTTACATGATGCAACTAGAGGGTTTTGAGATAGCAAGGAAAGAAAACTTGGTTTGCAAACTGAAGAAAAGTCTGTACCGGTTGAAGCAAGCACCAAGATAGTGGTACATGAAGTTTGACCACTTTACGAAAAGGAGTGGATATACGAAATGTCTTATGTTGTTATATGTTGATTGCGGGACCAGACATGAGAGAAATCAACAAGCTGAAGAAACAGTTATCTCAAGAATTTGAGATGAAAGACTTAGGAGCTGCGAAGCAGATTCTTGGTATGAGCATCACAAGAGATAGAGCAGGAGGTACCTTCAAATTATCTCAAGAAAAATACATTAGAAAGGTGCTAGAGAAGTTCAATCTGAAAGATGCTAAAGTCAGAAGTACACCCTTGGAAAGTCATTATAAACTTACTAAGAAGCAATCACCTAAAACAGATATAGACAAGGAAGAAATGGAAAAGGTTCCTTATGCATCAGCAGTTGGCAATTTGATGTATGTTATGGTATGCACAAGGCCACACTGCTCATGCGGTGGGGAGTAGTCAACAGATTTATGTCAAATCCAAGGAGTATTGGGAGGCAGTCAAGTGGTTACTACGTTACTTGAAGGGCCCATCATTGGAAAGACAAGGACTTCATTGGATGGGTTGGCATCAACAGAAGCAGCTAAATGGATTAAAGGAGGAGATCTGTGTCTGGCTACACCCAAACGACACTGTGGACTTACATACGGTAATAAAGGTGTCTCATCTGGTGGAACGTGAAAGAAACAACACGCCAATGGAAGAAATAAGGGATGCACTAGTTTTGACTGGGCTGATCCATGGACAATAAAAAAAACTCAGTTCATTTTTATTCCACGATCTCCGACCGCCCCCACCTCCCACCAAATTATGATGAAGCCCAATCCAAGGCTGGTCATAAATCCAATAGCTATGTATCATCCCAGCCTCAGGCCCTCAATAATGGCCTTTTGCAACTTCTAGTTCGAGTAACTCCACTACAACAAATTCACCAAGGAATGCACATCAAACTTCACATCAAGAGTATGAGGATATGAGAGCAAAAGGCATTTGCTCTCATAGAACCCTACATCCCTGTGCATAACTTCCCCTGCACACTTCCCCCAACAAATCTGTGTAATTTCTAATCGTGGCAGAAGATGAATAGGATGGATCCCACGAAGGGCTACACGCCCTGGAGACTACAAAGTACAAACAACTTTCTGCCACCCATTCAGGGGCGGACCGTAGTACAGACTCAGGGGGGCTGCCGCCCCCCCAACAATTTTTTTTAGTGTATATTTATACAAAATTTTTATTTTTACCCCCCAACATTTAATTCTCGCCCCTCCAAGAAAAATTTTGAACCCCCCCAAAAAATATTTTCTCCCCCAAAGCAAAGCCCACTTGCAGAAAACCAATTGTTTAAGAGCCTAAAAAAATAGAAATTTTACAAGTAATATTATATCAACTCACTCCAAAATTTATATCAAAAAAGGAAAGATCGATTATTTTTAAATGATTGTCCTTATGCCTACTATGTTCATTGCTTAGCACATCAGTTGCAATTAGCATTGGTTGCTGCTTCTAGAGAGGTGAAATATGTGCACAATTTTTTCATCGATTCAGTCTTTATTATTAATGTGACTAATTCTTCTTGCAAACAAAGTGATGAATTAAAGGAAGCTCAAGCACTTGAAATTGCAAGAATGTTGGAAATTGGTGAGCTTGAAACAAGCAGAGGACTTGATTAGGTTGGTACATTACAACAAGCTGAGGAAACTCGTTGGAGCTCACATTTCAGTTCTGTTTGCAGTTTGATTAGGATGTTTGCTGCAACTTGTTCTGTTTTAGAAGATGTTGAAGAGAATGACAATAACTATTCTACTCGTGGAAATGCAGCTAGAGAACTTAAGAAGATTAAATCTTTTGATTTTGTTTTCTTGTTGCATCTTATTAAAGAAATTATGGGCATTACAGATCTTCTATGTCAGCATATACAGAAGAAGTGCCAAGACATAGTAAATGCTATGCATTTGGTGTCAAGCACCAAAATGTTGATCCAAAAGTTAAGGGAGGGTGGATGGGATAACTTCTTAGAAATTGTTATAGAGTTTTGCACAAAGCATGAAATTGAAGTTCCTAATATGAAGTCTCCTTATGCGGTAAAACGCAAACGCCATGATCAAGAAGGGTTTGATATTGAACGTCACTATCGGGTTGATATGTTTTACGCAGCCATAGATTCACAATTGTTGGAGCTGAATAGAAGATTCGGTGAACAGATAATGGATCTTCTTACTCTTAGTGGTGCTTTGGATCCTAAGGACTCATATAAGTCTTTCAACATTGATGATATATGTTCTTTAGTGGATAAATATTACCCCTTTGATTTTATTGAGCAGGAGAAGGTGAGCTTGAGGTTTCAATTGCAACATTATAAGCTCAATGTTCTAAACCATCCAAAGTTGGCAAATTTTTCTACAATGGGTGAACTTTGTCAAAGATTAGCGGAGACGGAGATGTCAAAAGTGTACTTTCTTAGCTTGTTGATAAATTGATCCGACTTTTGTTGACTCTACAGGTTTCGACAGCAACAACCGAAAGGACTTTTTCCGCAATGAAAATTATAAAAACAAGGCTTCGCAATAAAATGGAGGATGAGTATGTCGCAGACAACCTTATTGTTTATATTGAAAGAGAAATTGCTAAAACTTTTGACTAAAAAGCCGTGATTGAGGAATTTATCTCGTTGAAGAAGCGTTGGGTACAATTCTAAGGTACTAACTTTAACTATTTTGTAATAATATATTTGTCTCTTCTTCTATTATAATGCTTCATTTAATTACTACTCCGTATTATATTAAGGTTATAACTTATAATAATAATTGCCTAGATTTTTTTATTTAAATTATCGCCCCCCCCCCCAATATCAATTTCTTGGGTCCGGCCCTGCACCCATTCGATAATCAGATTTATTACTTCAAGACTTGTGGATAACGACGGTTCTGCAGGGCAGCAATGGTAGCAAACAAGGATAGTAATAGAGACCTAAACAATACTAGAATAAGAATACTATTAAGTCTTTTGATATTGTACAATAAAAGGGATTTAGGCCCTATACCTAAATAAAAGTGGGCTGGCCCAGTAGAAATAGAATAAATAAGGGTGAGCGGTGAGTAGATGGGAAGGCAGTATTTTTTTGGGGATTGGGACTGGGATTTTGGGAGTGCGAGACCACTCTAAGAGTCTCACCTTTCTTCTCTCGTTATTTGCTGTCTTCCATTCATTAAATCTTCATCAATTCCTACTGTGATTGTTACGACCTATCATTGGTATCAGAGCAAACGATCGCAGGACTGTGGATGCCCGTCACTAGATCGCAGATGGAGAGTCGAATCGATAATCTGGAACGTTCGGAGAACGAGATGTGTGAAGTGATGATGAACTTCATAAGCCAGAGCGGACGCAGGCAGACCAGAGGTAGATCACAAACTCCAAGGCGGAGGAGTGCGACGAGGAGCCAGGCGTCATCCTCTTCCAGGAGCAATTCAGGTAGTCATCACTCTGGTCTTGATCGGTGTGAGACACAGGGTGACCGGGGAATGATTCGAGCGGGACGGAAAATCGATTTACCATTATTTAAGGGTACAGATGCTTACGGCTGGATCATCAGGGTGGAACGCTTCTTCAAACTTAACCAGATTGAGGAGGGAGACAGAGTATCAGTGGTGATGATAGCTACTGAAGAGAGAGCTCTCAACTGGTTCCAGTGGTGGGAAGGGCAAACCAAAGAACGCAGTTGGGAATGCTTCAAAGCTGCTTTGATCCGTCGTTTCCAACCAGAACTCGTACAGAACCCTTTCGGTCCCATGTTGAGTATCAAACCGACGGGAAGAGTCATGGAGTATCGCGAACAGTTTGAATTGGTGGTTGCACCCATGAGGAACACCGATGTGGAGATGCTGAAAGGAATTTTCATCAACGGACTAAAAGAGGATGTGAGAGCTGAGCTGAAACTGTATCCATCCGCTTGTCTATCTGAATTAATGAATAGAGCTCTGCTGATAGAAGAGAAAAACACTGCTACGAGATCAGGGATACATAAGGAAGAGGACAAAAGGTGCTGGAAAGAACAGGGGGGGACTATGTTCAGGCATTTGAACTGGGTGGAAGCAGTTAAGGGAAGAACACCTCATATTCAGTCACGAACTTCTGAGGGAACACATTCAGAGAACAAGCAGACTACTGAGAGAACACATTCACAGAACAAGCTGAAGGAATCGCCAAAACCGAAAAAGACATGGGAGGAAGGCCAAAGGTTGACACAAGCAGAGTAAGAAGAAAGAAGTAAAAAGGGCTTACGTTTCAAATGTGGAAACAAATGGAGCAAAGAACATGCTTGTGGAATGAAACATTATCAATTTGTCTTGATTGAAGAGCCAGAAGAAAAGAACGGAACAGAAGATCAGCTATATGAACTGAATGAAGCTGAAAAACCGCTGAAACCAAATGCCAGATTAGTTTCTTACTACCCACCTTGAGGGCAAGGTGGTAGTTCAAGGGGGGAGTGATGATAGAGACCTAAACAATACTAGAATAAGAATATTAAGTCTTTTAATATTGTACAATAAAAGGGATTTAGGCCCTATAGCTAAATAAAAGTGGGCTGGTCCATTAGAAATAGAATAAATAAGAGTGAGCGGTGAGTAGATGGGAAGGCTGTATTTTTTGGGATCGGGACTGGGATTTTGGAAGTGTGAGACCACTCTAAGAGTCTCACCTTTCTTCTCTCGTTATTTTCTGTCTTCTATTCATTAAATCTTCATCAATTCCTACTGTGATTGTTATGTTACCTATCAGATAGCTAATAAAGAAATTAGGGTGTGAATTGGGGACCTTATTAGAATGGGTTCCGGATATATTTCAAGCCTTATTACTTACCTTCACTATTAGTGTTCAATAATTACATTAATTAAACATTTAAACCTTAACAGTTAACAAAAACAATATCATAAAAATGTGAAGTTCAAAATCCACAATTCCACATAGAACAAGTTATTCTTTTGGCAACTATATACAAAGAGTTTGTATAGCAACTACATAGAAAGAGTTAAACTAGTCGATGTTGAGGGTAGAAGTTTTAAGAGCCCACCAAGAAACCAACTCCACGGCTAGGAAAGAAAGTAATAAAATCAAAAGCCTTTGGCTCGTCATTAAGGATACATCTTAAACAAAATAAAAAAGTAAAAGCCATACATTATCATACAGAAATAACATACCTCATCATCATCATCAAAATTCAATTCATAAATTCCTTCATCGTTCAGCCATAGATTGTATATTATGACCTTAGTTCCATGAGAGCCAATATCTTCAAACTGTTCCAAATGGATATCAAATAAAATAATGATGTAGATTTTGGGCAATTACTCTTAATTAGCCAATAGTGGCATGTAGGAAAATACATGCCAATTTATAGGGAAAAGATATACCTAAAGTTAAAAAATAGTAAGGCTATGCAGCAGAGGTATCATAAGTTCTCTTAGTAACAGGTATTAACATCACAAGCATGAACCAGTTTCCTAGATAGGTCAACCAGGGATCTAGAGTGCTAGCTGTCAGTATATAAGACACTGAAGTCAAAGCTACTAAGATTGCATCCAGTTGGTAGCTGCAAAGTCGTTTTGTACTCTTATACTAGAGTATAGAATAATTCAGAGGTAATATCAAAAGCACTTACATGAAATAACATAGTTGATAGTACAAAAGCATTTTAACAAATACTTATTTCTCAAAATCCAAGTATGATAGCATTTTCTTCATGAGTATCAAGCAAGACAAAACATGTATTAAGGTGCTCTTGACCAAGTAAAATTGTTTTTTGCATTTCACTACAAGTATCAACTGGCAAAAATTGCAGAGTTATTGTTCTAAAAAGTATTAAGAGTGTCACAATGTCAAATAAAGTAACACCAAATTTCCTATTATCAAACAACCTGTTGCATAAGGTCATCCTTTGACACAAATGGAGACCATTCAAGGATGGTTTTCAAGTTTGTGGACCAATCAACCTGGGATGTATTAATAATTGGCTCTGCCCAGTGCCCGGAGATATCAAAATCAATCTGAAACAGAACTTTAATGACGTTGAGAAATGATGTCGAGTTCAATTCATTACGATATGCAAAAGTTTAGCACTGAGAAATAACAGATTTTACCATTGGAACAATGACATCATTCTGTCCTGTTTTGCAGAGAAATGTGTAGGATAGAAGGCCGACACTTTGGGTTGCTCGGCTAAAGGTGAAAATTTGTAGATGATGTCAAACATAAGCCAAAAATAAGTAGCACACCTTTCATGCAGAAAATTAAGCTTAATGGGCAGAATTGCCAGTCATAGTATCCATTAGGCATTAACTAGTTCTTAGAAACACTATTTAGTCTACTCCACTTTCAAGTAATTTAATAGGCAATAGCATTAAAGGTTTCATGTAATGAAACTTCAAACACATATCATACTACTATTTTCACTAAGGAATAAGCTAAACAGGAGTACGAGGCACCACATTTCTCTTTCATGAAGGCTGAAGCCATCTTCCCAATGCTCAAGCATACAGTGATATTACAACAAATGCAGAGTGAGATAAAATGTAACAGCAGTAAAGCTTCGGGGATTTTGAGGATAAGATCAATTTATATGGCAAAAAATGCAACAAAGCTTGCATGAAAATAGAATTGAATAGAGAAGAATACCCTGCGTGAGATGACCGTGTAAAGACAATTGCATCAGCACCTAATCTCATGGTACTAGTCTTGAACCCATTACCATCTATGAAAGGGAGGTGTATAATGAATAGAAAATTGTTCTAGCCTTAAAAGTTAATGCACCGACGCTAAAAGGATGGATAGTCTTTACGACCCTCCGCAGTGCAAATAAAAGAAAACATTTACCTATTTACTTACATTGCCCAATTGTTGTGTTGCTCGTCTTTGATGAGTAGCCCAAACTCATGCATTTCCGAAGACGTCCCGGATCCATTCCGCCACCATCATCTATTTAAAGATTTCAAAGATTTGACGGTCAGAAAAATGACTGATGATTTGCTTACTAAGTTAAAAGTCATATAATCATTACCCCAGTGCCGCAAAGGCTCCCACCTTCGGTGGGGTAATGGGGGTCGGATGTACGCAGTCTTACCCCTGTACTAAAGCACAAAGAGACTGTTTCTGGATGACCCATAGTGAAAATCGCGTAAAACATTACATGGAAAAAAAAGCGCGGACAGTTTAGTGAGTCATTTTGCTTTATTCCATCATATTCCCAAGCCAAAAAATAGTGAGTCTTTGGCTCCATTGCAAATGATGGAAGTAAGGCAGGAGAAAAGAAGCACACCTAGAAATAGTAAGGCAGGAGAGTTGTCCTTCACGTTACATATCCTATCAACCTTCACGAAAGTCGCACCATTGTTTATCTGGCGTCGAGTAAAGACAACCAAGTGAGCCTAACTGAAAGCAGATGCCAAAACACATCTACTGCTCAACCTGTCAGCATAAGTGATATATACAAATAGCATTGCTAGTTTTTCAGTTACACATACAGCTAATTGGGTCTTTTTCCATGTATGTTAAGGAAAGTAGTAAAACAAAGCACGCGGAACTACTAAGGAAATACTTTTGTGCAATAGCAAACATATGAAAAGATATAACCAGATATATTATGTCATATACATACGCCAAACGTTTTATTCAAATGCAAAGTAGCAAATGGTTTCATTTAATACAACTCTCAGAAACGTTTAATTTCTCAGCAAAGTATTAAATGATTCCTTTAATACAATTCTCAATGAAAAAGAACTGTGTAGTGTAATTGCATGTTAACTGATCAGTGATCACATCCTGTGATTAGTTGGTAAGATATTTTGAGAAACTTGAATCCATTTACGTCTGAAATTAGCTCCATGAGACAAAATAACTTTGGGAGGGGGAGGGCATGTTGTGTTAAGATCTGGGGGACTTTAACATGTTGTGCCTCTAAATTTCAACAGTAACCTAATTCAAGGTCTAATGGTCAGCATGGTAAAATCTTTGATACCACAGAGCAGTTGATTTGCAGATTGAAATAAAAAATTATTGACTTAGCGTCTTAGAAATTGAACAATAAAAATCAAGGGGAAAATATTTATTTTGTTGGTTCATTTTAATAAGATTCACGTTCAGTATAGGACCCTGCAAAAGTACAAAGCATGCGAAGGTGAGCGCAAAACTGGAAAAACAAAAGCAAGAATGGGTTATTCCTAACAATTAAGTCACTAGGTACACTTGATGAAAATTCTAAATTCAGATGTATGCAATTTGCAAATTATGGCATAAGACAAATGTAGCAGCTAACTTTGTGCAAGTGAACCGACAAAACAAACATGTAATGGTGACTACCTCATCTACAGCATTATCCAAGAGTTCAGCAATTGCTGCATTGACAACATGATTCACCTGTCAGTATATGTACAGATTGTAGTAAAATTGCTACAAGTATCTTAAACTGGACACACAATTCACCTCCAAACGCCCATTTGTGAGAAGTGGCATTCGAATGTAAGAACTTCGGATGTACACGTGCATGTTCCAGGTCACCTGAAACTTACCCGCAGAGAATGGGTTATTGATTTAAAAAATGAAGGGTGGATCCCCAGAACTTATCCCTTCTACTGTATGTTGTCTAGTAACAATAATTACTAGAACGTTGAGGTCCTTGAGGCTACTAATTAATTCTAGGAGATAACAAAAACTAATTGTGACCCATTGACACATACGTAGTATATGTTTCGATATTAAGAAGTAAAGCAATGCAAAAATGTTAGTGAAAAATTGAAGTGGCGGGGGGGAGGATGAACAGACCTTCTATAGCTACTGATTTAGCGGGGGCGATTTCGATATTCCCGGCCTTCCAGAAACTCCTCGAGTCTGGTGGACGATTATTCGGAGCAGGAGGAGCGCCCAATCTGGCATCATGAATACCATGTGGTTTGCCGTGAGGATTTGTGGCGGTAGACACTACATCCTGGTTTCCCCTCTTTCCGGCGGCATGGGTGTCACCGCCGCCTTCGTCATCGCTGCTATCAATCTCAACGACATCGATAGGAAAATTGCATGGTTTAGTTGACATTGTAATCGTAATTGAATCACATTTGTCAGCGCCTGTTAATAGGTTTATTACGGAGTAGTTGTTTCAACGAAGCACTCCATGAACTTGCATAGCCTGCAGTAAAAATGCGCACCCCAAATGACTTAAGCCAAGTCGTGTCGACTGCAAGGAGGCACGGATGCAGCCGCACATTTTTTTTGCCTAAAGTTTTCAAAATATGAGCGTCTATTTACATCATAGACATATTTTCCAATTTTTCAGAAAAACGTTTTTCAGAAACAGAAAACCGTGTTTACCAAATCGTTTTTCAAAACGAAAAAAATGAGACATGTCTCTCTTTTCCTTAATGATTTGGAGAAGTGACTTTTACTAGTTTTCCAAATTTGGAAAACGCAGATGTCACAGTGCCGATGCAATGAATTTGCATACTTACACCTAGTAGTGTGTCCGGTCCCGCTCTGATGTCGATTCCATTCTGGTACCTCCATTCTCGTACGTTCCCCCTTACCCCTACCCTACCTACCCTACCCCCACCCCGCGTACCCCTTTTCCCTACAATGACCCTACTCCACCCCCTACCACATGCCCCTACCTTGGCCCCACCCCCTACCACCTCGACCCCACCCCGACCCACCCTACCCCCACCCCTCGTATATTACCCCTTACCCCTACCTCACCCCTTACCACATGCCCCCTACCTCGGCCCCACCTTACCCCACCCTACCCTTCCCTTACCTCGGCCACACCCTACCGCCATCCTACCCCAACTCCATACTCTACCCCTACCTTACCCCAACACTCACTACCCCCACCCTTACCCCTAACCACAACCCTAACCCACCCACTACCCCCACCCAACCCCCTAAACCTTACCACCCCACCCCCGACCACACCCCACCCCTGACCCCGACCTCGACGAGTAGGTATGGTTGGGTATGACGGGTTGCAGGGGAGTATGGGTTGAGTGTAAGATCGTGGTAAAGGTAGGGGTCAAGGGTGTGGAATTGGGTATAGGGTGTAGGGTGGGAGTACGAGGTATAGGGGCGGGGTTGGGGTTGGGGGTATGGGTATATATAGGGTTATTTTGGACATTTTAATGTTAAACAGTGTTTTAAACCTTTTGAAGTAAACATGATTTTACAACATTGCTTATTTTATGCGCCGCTTATTAACGTGGGTCTTAATAAGCACCATTTAGTAACCGGTGAAGTAAACATGTCCTCAGTCTTCTGGATGATCACAGAACTGGGTAAAAAAAATTGATGAACATGTTTTCAGATTTGAAAATGGAAAACTAAAAAATAGAAACAGAAAATTGAAGATAGAAAAACTGAAAAATAAAAACAGAAAACTGGAGAACGAAAAACAGAAGTAGAAAACAGGAAAATATCTTTGTTAGTAAACAGACCCTCAATGTTTTTGAGGTTCTTTGTGAAATAAATTTCAAATACTAGTATTTGTGTTTCATTTACATTTTTTATCGTCAAACCGAATCATATATGAAATCAATAAATTGTGAGTCATGTGGCTCGAAATACAACCGAGAATAAACTTAAAATTAACCTGCTGATCTGGAATAGCCACATGAGTCGCATGATTCGCAGATCTTTTACAAAAAGACATTTCAAAATTACTCTTTGTTTCTAAAATCTTCCTAATATCATCCAAAACTAGATATAAATATGACGAACCCGCCGCCTGCTTCAAACCTTGAACCACCGTAAGCTCATTTGTCTCAATCTCCACACTTTGCCATCTTGCCTCTATCGCCCCCTGAATGGCGTCACAGACTCCCAATGCCTTTGTCTCCTCTATCGTCCATTCAGCCGTGTGTGAGACACCTTGAGCCTGGATAAAGTCTACATGTTCGTCCCTGGCAATCCACCCCCAAGTTCTAATCCCCCCTACTTGGTTAACCGCTCCATCAACATTAATTTTCACAAACCCCGTTTTTTGTCGCTTCCACTTTGTTTCTTCGGTGCTCCCCATCGTGTTTGTTGCATGGTTCGCCCCTTCTTTTGATTCCCTCCAGCTTGCCACCATATTAGCCGCTACATGGACGACTCGTCTTGCATCTTGATTTTGCTCTTTCCAAACCACATTGTTCCCTTGATTTTTCATATGTTGCATCGTCAGGACTTCCTTCCAATCCCGGGACTACATCTATAGTAAATGAGCCTATGAAAGTTCTCGTGAGGGCACACAGCCCTAACACTATTTATGTATGTACGGCGGTGGTAAAGGAAATGGTGTGAAAATGGTTAAAGCTTGGGATGGGGCTTCAGAGGTAGGTGAGGGTTGTGGCTGATGAGATGATGATGGTTCAGAGCTTGATGGATAAGGAACTATAGCTAAGGATGATTGCTCACAAGTATGCGGCCTTTTCTCCCCCTCATGATGATCTGGATCATCGGTGTTATCATGTTTACGCTTAGGTTGGCATTCTTGATCACGGTGTTGGGGATGGGATTTCGCGGACTTGTAGGAGATGGGTGGTAGGTTGGTTTCGCTTAGTAAGCGGTCAAGAAAGTATTCGGATAAGTCAATGATGTTAAGGTTGGCAGGGTTGGGTGTGGATGATGAATATGGTAGGGTTTGGATATGATTAGTGTTGGGTTAAGGGCCCAAGCCGAGGTCCGGCCCATTAACCCCTTTTTACCAGACGCACGTCTAGTTAGAACACAAGGCTAGCCCGCAGGTCCATGTTCCTTGGGGAGGGACGAACGTCTGGAGTTGGGGGTTCAGGCCCAACGGCTCATCTCGACGAACGTCTGTGCAGGGACAAGGAGCAGGACCACGTGCCACCAGGGATGATGACGAACGTCCCCAGAGCAAGCCTATGGTCATCGGAGGAACACCAGTCCACATGATGAGAATCCATTAAGGCCAGGAGACGAACAACCGGTATCTCTTGAGGGCCACTTGGAGCGATCCAACTCGCTTCCCGGGCGGACGAACGTCCCCACTGATTAGGCGGGAAACCTAGATTCTGGCGGGAAGTGCATTTAATGCTGAAGATTTGGTGGTTGGGGCACCAGCGGTCCACAAGCTGCCACGTCAGTATAGCCACCTGCCCATTGGTGGGTATAAATAGAAGCATTTATTTCATTGTAAAGGGTTGGCAACTTTCTATTCTTAGCATTTTAGCTATAGCATTCTTACTCGCAGCACTTCTACTGCCTTGTAAGACGAACGGCCGACGGAGCCTTAGCGAAAAGTATTGTATCAGGGAGTTATTAAGAGATAATAATACCTAATCACTTACTTGCTATTTTTATTGTTCTCCTTGATTCTTATTACTTGCTAGTTGGGCTAGTTTATTCACACATACTCCACTCGAGATCCTTGGGCTTACGTGTTGAACCCGAGGGTTGAAGGAATTAACCTCAACACTGGCGCCGTCTGTGGGAAACTGAACTAAAAGTTTCCAAAACTCTCCCAAACAGCTACTAAATCTACCCACAGCAAGCAAGATGACAAGGAATAATCGGCAACGTGACCTCTCCGAGCAGCTGTCCCGCGGGCGAAGCAACCGCGGGCAAACCACGGAACGCTCCGAGACATTGGGAACTACTGGGGGTGAAGGTGGCCTCACCAACCTCATCCCCCACGAGGCCAGGCGCGACCCCCCACTCATGAGGGAGTTGGCGGAAACAATGCGCCGGATGGCGGACGAACAGGAGGCTGGAGAAGAGGTGTATTCCGCTAACACCATCTGGACGCCCATATCGCCCATCCACCACATGCAGTCCCTGGACGAGACAGCAGAGTCTGCCGGGCGTCGGACGCCCATCCACATGAGGTTGGGCCAAAGTCCATCCTCCCACGGGGCTGGGGGGCACACCAGCGCTAGCACACCTCGTTATGGCTGGCAGGACGATCATCGGGGGCGCACACCGAACGTTCCCTCAGGACAGCAGGGCACCACCATTACCCCCGACGCCAGTAACATTGGACGACGTTTCCAAAGGCGTGGTGCCCACATCACCCGAAGGCAACCCGACGCGGTTGTCCCACGAAGGAACATTACGCTCGAGGCCGTCCCTCCTGTGTCCCCCGGAAGGGCCGCACAGGAGGCCCGGCTAGAGGCAATGGAGCGGCGAATAGCCGAAATGGACAGACGGGCGGAGGCTACCCCAGCTACGCCTCGATTTTCCCTCACCTCACCGTTTACTCCGAGGGTCATGAACGCAGAGATTCTGCGGGACTGCAGACCCCCCGGGGGAATAGTATACAATGGGACCGGAGATCCCAAGGCTCATTTGATTAGCTTCCAGGGGAACCTCTCCATGCTGGGAGCATCCGATGAGGCCATCTGCCGGCTCTTCTTCAGCACCCTGAGAGGCCCGGCGCAAGAGTGGTTCGGGCAGCTGAGGCCCGGATCTATTGATAACTACGAACAGCTGTCCCAGCAGTTCATGGCACAGTTCGCTGCCAGCACCACCCCCAAGAAGAGCTTCACATCGCTCACAAGTGTAAAGCAGGGGAAGGACGAACCTCTGGCCAGGTTTCTGGTCAGATGGAGGGACGAAGTACTCCAGGTGGACGACCTGGACGAGCGGCTGGGAGTAAACATGTTCACCAGCGCTTTAGCAACAGGGGACCTATACCGGGATCTTCGGAGGAACCCCAGCACCAGCTACACCGAAGTGCTGGCTCGGGCACAAAAATATGCCTCCATTGAGGAGGAGATCAGGCTGAGGGACGCCGCGCCCGCAGCTCCTCCCCGGAAATTGGCGGATAGGCTCGGCCTCGGAGGCGGACCATCCCCCCCGAACAAAAAGAAGAAGACGGACGGCGGTATGGTTCCGTGGAAGGCCCACCCTGAGGCAAGCCGCATACGACCGGAGGAGTACCACGTCCCCTTGGCTTACCCCGTGGGCCAAATCTTCGATGCCATCAAAGACAAGGGCATCCTAAGGGAGCCCCAAGACAAGAAGGCGCTTATGGGTCTTGATGAGACCGCATACTGCGAATACCACCAGAGGGTCGGCCACCGTACCGACAACTGCAAACAGCTGAGGATGGCCATCGACGAGCTGATCCGACAAGGCTACCTGGGCGAGTTCACCCAGCTATTAAAGAAGAATAGCCCAAGGCAGCCGAATCCGAGATCACGATTGTGGCGCCGCGACGATCGGCGCGA